CCCCCATGAACTCCCCGACCCCCCCCCTGTTTCTTGACTGCCCCCTCCAGAACCTCCCTGCCCCTTCTCCTGCCCCCTGGCCCCCTTACCCTGCTGCTCAGAACAGGGTGTTGGGCTCTGTGCGAGCCGGACACGTGGCTGCGCTCCCCAGCACAACAAAACCCGGTCCCTGGCCCTGCACAGTGCTGCCGGAGCCGGGCTGCAGGGGAGAGCTGCCGGCTCAGAATGCAGGGGGGGGGAGGAGCTCCTCTACAGCTGCTCCGGAGTCCAGCCCGTGACTTTCCTGCAGCCCTCCCAGCCGCTCGCTCTGCTCTGCCGGAGGAGGGGGGAAATCCCGGACATTTTGAGTGATTTACAAATTCCCCCCGGACGCTATTTTTAGCACAAAAAGGAGGACATGTCCGGGTAAATCCGGACGAATGGTAACCCTAGGCTATGAGTACTGGGGCTTGTGACTCTGCATTGGGGACGAGGAGGGAGGTTGCTAGATAGTTAAGTGGGGAGGTGGTCGCTCTGTGTGGCTTTGCAGAGAGCGGCAGAAGAGGGCACTGGAGGGGTTTGTTGGGGGAAAGTTCACTGGCGCCGAAGACGACCAGGAGCACCCAAGACTCACCACTGGACTGGAACTTTGCTCAGGACTTCTGAACTCTGTGTGCAGACACATTGCTCGGTGTCTGCCCTTCCAGACTGCGCTACCACTGGGTCTGTGGGGCCTCAGCTTGGATGCAGCCCTGTCTTACTGCTTCCCCTATATTTCCCCTTGTTGTTTTTCTCCTCTCATCCCTCTGTAAATAAATATTTCCCTTGTTATATCCACTGTACTTTTCCTGTGGGTGTGTGTGTTCACTCTGGGGTGGGGGAGGTTGGAACAGGTGCCCCTGGAGTGGAAGGAATTTCTCCTGCTGCATTCCTGCGCACGCCTTCTCTTGGCCAGAGCTACCTGCAGAGCAAACTCCATCTTGGCCACAAGGGCGTTAAAGTTACACTTGATTGTAGCTAACCTGGTGTAAAACTGGAGGGACACCATGGAAAATCAGGCCCAATTTCTCCAAAGCCAGGTAGTCTCACTCAATTGATTTGTATGGTAGGTTTAAAAACAAAAATATCTTCAATATCTGGAGCCAAAAATATAAATGCAAATACAGGGCTGAAAACATCTACATATCCCTCACAAAATTTGAACAGCTGATATAACAAAGATGACCCCAAATGATGAATGAAAAGATGTGATAAGTGCTGTGAGGAAAAAGCATAAACAAGAAAAATGCACTACTTCTTCCCCCACCTTGAAGAGAGAGGTGTAGATGGGCGGGCACATCCTTTCAAAGAATAGGAATAAGCAGGTAGGTCACTGTTCCTTTTTCTCTTCCAGTGGCCCATCTGCCTATCCTTGCAAGCGGTATAGCTACCACAGCAGAACCCCTTCCAAGGGTCCAAGGGTCACAAAAAATAATAAATGCTCTGTGGGGCAAGAACCGTCCTTTCTGTGTCTGTATAGTCCTAGCCCAAAAGGTCACCAGGCTCTGAGTGGGACCTCTAGGCCCCTACAATATAAATACACAGCAGGAGTATAGAGTATGCAAAAGAAAGCGTATGTGTGTGTCTAAGAAGTACAGTATCCCATCATGTAGAACAATAGACGAAAATAATCCCAAAGCTTAGTCCTCAACCACAGCCTGGAGAATCCTCCTGCTGAATGTTACATTTGATGAGTTTGAGTTTATCTCATTTAGCGAAAGTACACAGTGATGACTAACTGGCTGCCTTGCAAATCTCTCCCGCGAAAGCTCCAACGCTTTCTGCTGATGATGATTTTTAGGTAAACCTGGAGCAACAATGCCAGAAGGCACTGGACAACTCAGTTTTTTTTTTACAGCATTCTTTAACTATGCAGGACCTTATCCAGTTTCTAATGGTGTACTTTGAAACTCTCTTGCTCCTCTATCCAAAGAGAGGATATCTGAACTCTGTTTTAAGTATGGAGCTAATGCTTTCCTGACATCAAGCTTATGCTATTTTACCTCCTTTGGGTATTTTGCATTCATACATAAAGAAGACAGAACGATGCCTTGAGACTGATAAAAGGTGTCCCAAATACCACAAAAGAGAGTGTACATCTTGGAGTAAACTCTGGAGTAGTCTGCAGCAGCATCTTGTCATTGTGGAAAGTACAGAACTATTTCTCCATTGACAGAGCACCTCATTCAGATAATGGCTGAGGTTATAGCTATTAACAATACCACTTCTGAGGAGAGAACATAAGTATGCATGTGGGTGAGGTTCAATCAGCAGCTCCACTATGATATTCAGTACTAGCGCAAGCTTCTAAGGGTGCCATTTTTCAATATTTGGAGGATATGTCAACTTGTGAATAAATGTGAAACAAGACCCAAGAGGTACAGTGTCAAGCTTCTATTGTTATTTAGGTCTAGGACAGTGCTGATGGTCATAATCTGCACCTTCCTATGGCTAACACAGAGATCCAAGGATGTTCCAACTTGCAGGAAGTCCATGATGTAGTGGATCTTCACTTCTATAGATGAGCTAAATTTCTTCCTGAACCAATGGGTGAAAGTGACCTATTTTGCCACATATAATTCATTTGCTAATGGCTTCCTTAAAGCTGTTAGGATGGTTATGAGTCTCAGAAACCCTGCAGGCTTATAGCCCCATGCTCAATGGTCTCTGTACCCATTGGTGGAGAGGAATGTGGCATACACCACTTTTCTACCCTGCCCCCGCAATCCTGCAGTAATACTTTATCATCCAATAGTGTTCTGATTTTGCCATGCTTTGGGGGGCTAGAAAAAAAAGACAGTATACGCCTCAGAACTACTCACCCTGCAGGACTTCTCTAGCACTCCCAATCAATGGAGATGACCTAGTGCTTCCTTCGCAGTTGCATGTTTTTCTATATGCCTGGAGAACACATCCAGGGTGTCCTTCTATCAGTTCCATAGTCCAACAAGACCATGTTGTTTGTTTCCATCTCCCCAAGAAGTAGTTCTGCTTGCTCTGAGGTTAAATGAGAGCTGGCGAGGGGGTATCTGGTCAGGCTGGCTGCACATCAGTGACTGTTCCACATAAATGGAAACTGGCAAACAGGTTTGTTTTCCATTAGCGTAAAGAAGTATAAAAAAATCACTTTTTGCCAGTGCACTCTGAATTCTTGTCATAAATAATGCAAAGTTGTACCTCACAGCAGTCAGGGAAATGAGGTCAAAGGGTAAATTCTGCATGCTGTGACACATTTTCATGCATTGAATCAATGCTCAGATGCTTACACTCATGCTAGAGAGAGCACAAAGGGAGAGCTTGTGTGGGTGTGAGAATAAACTGTAGAGAAGGATGCTGAAAAAATATTAAGATGTGCCGAATTCTGAGAAAGAGCAGTACAGATGTAGTGTTTGGGTTCAAATAGAAGGGGAAATGTCTGATGCCTAGGACGTAACTTCTTACTGTCCGTGCTGTTTGTGTGGCCATATCCCCTTGGTCAAAGGATTCTAGATATGCATATGCATCCCCTTTTACTCAAAGAAAAGACCACAAAGACCTAGAACAAATAAGCCTTAAAATTAATATTTCTTTTAACAAATTAAAACCAAAAACCTTACCTCAAGTAGTGTTTTTATTCCCAAAAGGGAGAAGTGCCAGAAACTCCATTAAATCCACAAGGGACTTGCTGCTTCTATTGATTTTATGTGGGAAGGTGCTTGGATATTATGTTGATAGTATAAAACCCTAAGATAGATAAATGAGAGAAGAGCATCTTAATATTTTTCATTTTTCTAACCTAGTACAGACAGACATATGTACCCAGATAAACACTGAAAGTGAAGGAGTTGTTTTAAATTGCTTTACACTAACAACTGTGATTGTTCAGAACAACAACTACAGATATTATGGACCAGATCCTCAGCTGGTGCAAATCAGCATAGGTCTATTGACTTCAGTGAAGCCGCTCTGATTTACATCTGCAAAGGATCTGGCACTAAATATTGTTCTGGGTGGGGGTAGGGGTTGTTTTTGTTTTTATTTAATATAACTGGACTAAAGGCTCTATGTGACTCAGTACTGAACATCTGGGGTTGATCACAAGATCACAAGCTGGAAAGCATTCATCTGGCTTCTAGAAATAAATACATCTAGCTCAATGCTTTCCACAACTTTATTGTTTTAATGATAGACTGAAGGAGCTGAAACAGCCATTTTAAATCTTTTAATTCTTGCAGCTTTAGTATTTGTAGCCATTTTTTTCACATCATAGTATCATACAGTAATTATATTGATTTTAATTCTGGGGGGGCAGTTTTAGCGTGATTTTTCTTCCCATTATTAATTCTTTATTTTTCCCCACAAGATTTCATGAAACTATGGTAATCTTGCAATTCAGATTTTTATTAGTTTCATTTTTCACAAGTATCGTGGGAGAGGCCCAATATGTAATGCAAGATGAAGTACTAATGCATTACATCAACCGGCGTTTTCTATCTTTAGAGGTACGTGTTATCTGTATAATTGTGTCATAGGAATATTGTCTTGTTGCAAATATATTTGAAAGGTGGTGCATGTTCTTGCATATATAAACTGCATATATGTTAATCATCATCAGTAAAACAATGAATAATATAAACAAATAAAATAAACAAACTTTAAAAGTATGTCATGGTAACTAAAACCTGCAACTTTAATTATTTCATGTTATCATAGCATTATTTATCATATCATAACATTTTTATTTTATTTTATTTTATTATCCTTAGCCAAATTCTTCTATCAATTGCATCTGTGTAATCCCATCAATAACATTTAGCTAAAAATGTTTAAATTGCTGTCACAGTATGTCTCCAGAATATTTGCATTTCCTGTTGGCATCAACAGGATTGGTGAAAAAGATTAATAATGAATTAGTAAGCACAGAAGATAGTTGGAAGCTTACAAGGCATTTTTCTATCTCCAGCTGAACTTTAAGTGTATTTGCATCTTGACATGAGACTGAAAAAATCCCCATGTGGTTGGGAGATTGCAAAAAGTTTTGGTTCTGCTAAATTTCATAAGATTACAGTCCCTCAAACAGGGCTCCCACTTACTCCAGTACCTGTCCTTTTTCTTCAGTTAAGATCACAGAGTATTGCTAATTAAATTCAGATGAGATTATTAAAAATAATTCAAGAAGTTTTGCATTCCTAGATCCTAAATACCAATGTACCATTGTGCATACTTTATTTAAAAAATGTGACACATACACAGTAGGACAGAATTTGTATGGGATGACTTACTAAGAATTGCTATCGTGCCTTTATTTGGTAATAATTTGTGTTAATAAAATAATTGTAAAGAAGCTCTAACAGTAGTCATTCCTGCACTCCTTGCTCATGCAAAGCTCCTACTGGCTTCACTCAGAAAACAGTGAAGGATTGGACCAATGTTCTCTCCCCATTAGGTGGGCTGGGATTAACATTTTACGAACCTACACAAGAATGACAACCATATACATTTCAACTGTCTGTTTCCTCCCTTTTGCTTCACAGGAGAGAAAAGTTTCCCCCATCCTCCCTGGTTCAGACCAACCAACATCCTAAGGTTCTCGCATATGTTTGGACACCCATAGAAGTTGATATATGTGTAACTGTACAAGCAATGTGGACAGGGGGTGGATATCTCCCACCCCCACACATTTCAACTTGAGGGGAGAAATAATGTCTTTCCTCCCTTCCACACACACTTTTGTCTGGCTAAAGGCTAAGGGAGAGGTGAAGGAAGAGGGGACAGTAGCAAGGGCAGAAAAGGGGAACGGTAAATATTGGAGGGAGAAGCAGTCCTGGGACATTTGGGAGCATGGATGGAGGCACTTTGTGTAGTGAGGAGGAGAGATGGGTAGGTGGGCCTCTTGGTTGGGATTATGGTCATATGCAAAAATCCAAGTTACCACTTGGATAATTGTCATAAAATGAGCCAGGGAGCTATAAAATCCTCACCAAAGATTTCAGAGAATGAAACACATAGCACATACTACATGGTTCCCTTTGTAAGTATATTTATTCCTCAGTCATAGAAAAGCTCACCTAACACCCACAATGAAAAGCTTGAAACCTGTGTGTAAAGCACCACAACTGAGTACCCAGTTTTAACTAGTTAGGACTATCATTCTTGTGTATCAGGCCTGAGATACTGACACACTTTCAATAACTCATCTGATAGGCAGTGTTGCCTAATCGGTGGAGCACTGGACTAGGACCCAGGACACCTGGGTTCTATTCTCAGCTCGGCCACTGTTCTGCTACATGCCATTGGGCAAGTCACATCTCTCTGTGCCTCAGTTTCCCCCTTTCTAAAGTGTTTTGAGATTTGTGGATGAAAAGTCCTATAAAAATCACTGACTTTTTCAGCACCTAGTCTATTATGAAGTTTTGACAAACTAAAGGGGCCTAAAATTTCAAGAGAGGCTAATAATATTGGGTATCTTGGTTTTTGGGTGGCCAATTTGAAACACCTTGAAGAGTTCTGATTTTTAGAGAGTGGGAGTTCAGCACTTTGTGAAAATAAGGCCCCTTTTATGATGACTCCAGCTGGGCACCCAAAATCACTAGACACTTTTGAAAATGTGTCCAATGGCAGGGTCCATTCGAAGTGATCAGGCAGGTAGGGCCTGACTTAAGATGAACTGATACTGAGGTAGCTGCATAGGTGTGCTGGTCTTTCAAACCTGAATTCCATTGCTCTATCTTCCATGATTTTACTCCCACAATTTTCACCATTTTGATACAAACTTTCTTCGCATATATTGATTTTGTAGGTCAAAATTTCGATTTTCCATTTTAAATGCTAGAAAAGAGTAAGTAGCATTAACTCTGGATCAGATATCTGCTGGGTCAGCAAAGGAACAGTATATGAAATGTGGTTGCTTCCTGGATCCAACAGCCCCTGCTTTCACATTTTTATGAGACAGGCTCAGCAGAGACCCTAAAGAGAGGATTTTGAGGGAACTCGGGGAGGGGAGTCATCAGTGATCCCTCTGTTCTACACCCCAAACCTCCAATGGGTTCTACCAGGACTCCCCTCTGCTGACAGAAGAAGAGCAAAGAATCTAGCCCTCAGACTTCATAGCAAGGGAGAATATAGATATTTAACCACAAGTATGAATTTCAGTGACTTTTTCATGCAGATTAATAAGTGACCAGGGATAATTAGTTTGAAATGAGAAAGGGAAGGGGGGACAGTGGTATTTATAAACTAACCATGTGTTAAGATCCTATCTATAGAAAATACACATGTTCACACAAGCAAATATATATTTATATGTTCTGTATTCTAATTCAAGAGCAGGCTGGAAAAATGCAACCAAGATATACTGGCTTATGTACAAGAATTCCATGACTTTTCAAGGAGGATGGTATCGCGCTTGGAGGGGCTGAAAATTTATAAGGCTGAGTTTAAAAATGAAGTGGAGCATTTGCTAACAAGAGTTGAAAGAGCACAAAGGGACATTGACTATTTTCAATCAACAAGAGAATCTACTGCCTGTGTAGAAGTAGATGAAGACATGGTGGAAAAGCAGCTAAATGAAGACGCAGAAGAAAAAAGGAAAGTCAAGCTCATGCTTAATGCAAGTAAGAACTATTTACTTTTCAAAACTTAGATCTAAGAGAGCCAATCCTCTAGTCAATACATTTATGCTGATATGTGGATAAAGTATATTTACAAATGTGTGTTCTTTAAGTGTGATAACATTGAGCTTTTAGCAAAGAAAACAAATACACCAAAATGATAAGGGAAATGCTATAATTAAAATATTTGTTATATAGATACTGAATTGCATGTTAAATTGGTTCTTTGGAAATAGCTCTTTAATTGGAGCATTAAAAGCATTAAAAAAAACTACTAAAGGTATGCTCGGGCAACTGTCACAGTTCCCAAGACATCTGCACCTCTGACCTCTTTTTGGTCTCCTTAAGGGTATTCCACCTAGGTCTCAAGCCTCTAATCATCACCATCACGTGACACTCAGCCTCCAGACTGGGGATTTAGGCTGCACGCTCCTGCAATTCACTGCGATCACCTTAGCAAGTCTGAATTAAGTTCAGCATCTCATGCTTCAGGGCTACAGCTGGAATCTGTAGGGGGCCAGAAGCAGGGCCAGCCTTAGAGGTGGGTGACTGCTCAGGGCCCCATTGTCAGTGGTCGCCATCAGAGTACTACAAGCTGGCGGGCCGGGCTGCCAGAGTAGGGGTGAGTGCGGGCAAGCCCGTGGCTGGAGCCCACCTGGTCAGCTGGGCAGGGTGATGCTGCCTGGAGCTGCCAGCCTGATGGGGAGGTGCAGGCAGCAGGGCTCACTCCTGTGGAGCCAGTGGGTCAGCCCCTGGGTTCCCCCTTCCTGCGGTCCTGGTGGTCAGTGGGTGTATGGCCAGGGGAGCCCCAGGTTCAGAAACTCCTCCCAGTGCAGCCTGGGCTGGGTGGCCGGAGAACAGCAGCTGCTGGCCAGCAGCGCAGATGTAAGTGTGGCAAGGTATGGCATTGCCACCCTCGAGTTTGCGCTGCTGCTGCTGTGTTCAGAGTTGGGTGCCTGGCCACAGCCGCTGCTCTCTGACCACCCAGCCAGTGCTTAATTTGCGCTGGGGTTTGCCCAGGCTGAGCCCTGGCACGTCTTTTATTACAAATTAAGCATCGGGAGAGGTAGCAGGGCCCAGAGGCAATGGTGGGGAGAGCCCCTCCCCCATGTTCTGGTTTTGTTTGTAATCTCCTTTTTCTGAAGCATCAGGGAGGGCCACAAGTGAAGTTGGGACATTGGATGGGGAGGGAAAAGACTCTGAAGTGGCACCAAGCATTCTCTCTCTCACGTGCTTAGCTGGCTGTTTCTTGCTCACATCCTCAGGTTCTAACTGAACACCACATGATGAGTCAAGAATAGGGTGACCAGATAGCAAGTGAAAAAAATAGGGACGGAGTGGAGAGTGCCTATATAAGAAAAAGTTCCCAAAATCAGGACTGTCCCTATAAAATCGGGACATCGGTCACCCTAGTCAGGAAGAAATTTCCCCTCAGATCAGATTGGCAATGATCTTGATGGGATTTTCACCTTTCTTGGCAGCGCTGGATGTGGGTCATTTGCCATCATTATCTGGATATATCTCACTTAATCAACTTCCTGACATTGCAGGGGCTTCAAACATGGGTGTACCTGGGGCCCTCCTATTCTCTGCCTCTGGCATGTAATAGTTTAGTCTTCAGTGGGCTGTAATACTTTGGTGTAGTTTTAGTTGGGTTTTGTGTGTGGATGGTTGGTTGGTGGTGTTCGTGGCGTGTGACTTACAGGAGGTTAGTCTAGATGATCTGGGGTCCCTTCTAGTCTTAAACTGTAGGAGCTGCAGCCCTGTTCATTAAGGGGGCAATGACAGGGTTAATCAGTGACCAGGCTAGTTCAAAGCACTATTTATTCAGAACAAAAGACATCTTAAAAATAATAAACAGCTTATACCCAAGCCTGGCTTACCAGGTGTCACCCACCTTGCATATCGAGATGATGGCAATTTTCAAAGTACTTCAGGTCCTTTCACAGGGCCTGACCCTCTGGGTCACAATCTTATTTCAGTTCTGAGGTTGGGTAAGGGTGTTGACCGTTTTTTTCCCTGCCACCCAGAATGCACAAGTTCACAGACCTTCTCTTGAGCTGAAGAAGTATGTCATTTATTTGCTGCTTCAGTGAGTGAGCAGTCCACCAAAACAGAGCATAGCATCGGGCTGAATGCAAGCTCACAGCCACATTCAGGTGCGCGCCTTAAATACATTATTACAAAGCTGTTCATTATATATTGTATAAACACTTTTTCTGCCTAGCATTAAGATTAGTTTGCTAACCCAGTTGTTTACCTGATCAGATTTCTGGGTCAGCATTTCACCTGGCTGTTCTCTTTCCTTGCCAGACAAGCAGGCATCTTTTCACATATCCCAACACCTAAAACATATATTCTACATATTACATCCTTCATGGATTGATCCTGCTCCCTGTGTCTAAGGTGATCATTTTATAGACCTCTGGGTTCTTTGTTTGTCAGGCTTGTAGATGCAGGTTAAACCAGTCTATACAATTCCCCAGGCAGCCGAAGTTTCTCCGAACCTGTTATCTGTCCAGGAAGTTGCATTAATTACTTCCCAATTATTTTAGTTCCTGCACGAAACTCTTTAGCTCCCACATGGACCCAGAATACCATCCGTAGTCAATAAAATACATAACATTTATAAACTAGATACAATAGTCTTTAGATTTTCCATATATCCACAGTATCTGTCACAGCAACATTCCAGGAAAAACTCTAGTGTCTCACAGTTGGTTGCAGCTGTGCCAACTAATTAAGTGGCTTACGTTTTTTTTGGGTCACAGCCTCAATACTAAGGATAATTCAATAGACATTGAAACTACTTAATCTACTGGTAAATTTTCCATATATTTTAATATTCTCTGTAATTCCCTATCAAGATCACACAGTAAGCGACCTGGCTGCAAGCAAAATTCAATTTTGAATTTGCAAATTCAGCATGTAAATGTACTAACATGTAATATAATATGAAGTACATATACATTATATGTTTTATTGAAAGCCCTTATCCTCTTAAATTTCATCTCTAAATAGTATCTCGCCCCTATGAAATTCACTAATTGATGCAAATTATATACAGTATGTACATTTTAGGTGGTATATTTTATTTCCAGTCAGAAGCAGTGTGAAATCAGAAACACACAACAGAAAATTTAAAAATTGGAATCAGAACCTTTTTAAAAAGCTTCAGGGCAGATCCTAAGGTGGTATATATCTGATTTCAGTGGAGCTAAATCAAATTACATCAGGCAGGGGTTCTCAAACTGGGGGTCAGGACCCCTCAAGGCGTCATGAGGTTATTATGTGAGGGGTCACGAGCTGTCAGCTTCCACCCCAAACCCCGCTTTGCCTCCAGCATTTATAATGGTGTTAAATATATTTTAAAATGTTTTTAATTCATAAGGGGGGTTGCACTAAGAGACTTGCTATGTGAAAGGGGTCACCAGTACAAAAGTTTGAGAATCACTGAGCTAAGAATCTGCTCTCTTAATCTTTGTCAACATGCTGTCAAAGGGTTAAAGCAGGTGGTAATAGTGATACTACTATTCTTCTCACCCTGTTTTCAAAGCCTACTCCTATACCAATGGTTCCCAAACTTTAACAGCCCGCGAACCCCTTTCACTAAACTGTGAAATCTCGTGAACCCACTCCTAAAAATGAATATTTTCAGGGATTTAAGTTTAACTTTCCTCAGTGTGATGGATGTCCCCAACTGCCCGGCCCCGCTCTTCCTGGGGCTCAGGCTGCCAGTCCCGTGCCGACCACTGGGGTTCGTCCTGCCGGCTCCCCCGCTGACGGGGGCAGGGCTCAAGCTGCCGGCCCCAACTGCCCAGCCCCGCTCTCCCTGGGGCTCGGGCTGCCAGCCCGGCATGGGGAGCGCTGGATTCGGGCTGCCGGCTCCCCTGCTGATGGGGGCAGGGCTCAGGCTGCCAGCCCCAACTTCCCGGCCCCACTTCCTCTGGGGCTCGGGCTGCCAACCCTGCATGGGGAGCACTGGGGTTTGGGCTGCTGGCTCCCCCGCTGACGGGGGCAGGGCTCGGGCTGCCGGCCCCAACTGCCTGGCCCCGCTCTCCCTGGGGCTCGGGCTGCCAGCCCGGCATGGGGAGCGCTGGATTCGGGCTGCCGGCTCCCCTGCTGATGGGGGCAGGGCTCAGGCTGCCAGCCCCAACTTCCCGGCCCCACTTCCTCTGGGGCTCGGGCTGCCAACCCTGCATGGGGAGCACTGGGGTTTGGGCTGCTGGCTCCCCCGCTGACGGGGGCAGGGCTCGGGCTGCCGGCCCCAACTGCCTGGCCCCGCTCTCCCTGGGGCTTGGGTTGTCAGCCCCGCATGGAGAGCTGGGGTTCGGGCTGCCAGCTTCCCTGCTGACCGCCGGGACTTGGGTTGCCGGCCCCAACTGCCCAGCCCCGTTCTCCCTGGGGCTCGGGGTGTCTGCCCTGTAACCAGGTCCCACTGCTGTCTCCAATGCCCAGGGTCCTCTGTCCGCCATTAGTGAAATTTTTCTGGCGAACCCCCTGTAACGTTCTGCGAACCCCCAGGGGTTCGCGAATCCCAGTTTGGGAACCACTGTCCTATACCAGTCTCCAGTACTCTGAATTTCAAAATCTGTTCCTTTCTAGATCTAAGCTTGTTTGAATATTCAGGCACTTTCTTTGACATGCAATAAAAAAATAAATTAGATGGTTTTTAAAATGTCTCAGGGTAAAGACACTGAAAATTGTTTCTTTCTAAAAATAACTAAGCTAAAATTACCTGCTTTTTTACATCTTTCCAGATGTTGAAAAGTTGTTATTGATAGTAACACATTAGTATATACTAGCCGTCCATTAACCACATCATATTTACAGGTCCATTATCAATTTCCAGATTTTACAGCATTGCTTGCTAGTGTTTAAGGTCTTGCTGCCTAGGTTTCCAGCTGTCTGTGTAATACACTTCCTGCTGCTTGAGGTAATTCTTAGCTGACACCATTATTTAAAAGCAGAGCCATGAGTTCATTGATATGTTTAATTGTAGTCATTGAGGACCAAATTCTGGTTCCATTGAAATCAATGGGAAAACTAGTAAGGATGTGGCTTTTAGAGCACTTAGATAAAGTCATCTGTTAAATAGTAAGTGACTCTTAACCTTAACAATAGCAGAGCTGCCACTCCACCATAAGGGGCATGGTATAAGTCCAAGGTGATTGTGTTTGGTTTGGATATGTACAGACACTCACTGATTCTGCAGGAAAAGTGGTTGATCTTCCAACCCTGCCGTGGTTGCGAGTGGGATATGGCATTCCTGCAGATTAGGCATCAAACTGCCTTCTGGGTCTGATGGGGGTAAGATTTGGAAGTATCCTGGGGCAGTAGAGGCGTCTCCAGTCCTTCATGTTGGCTGCAGTAACCAGAGTGTATATGTAGGGGGTATCAGTATCCACAAGTGCAAAAAAGGGTTGCTTTCTGGTGGCAATGTGAGTATTTCTATTGACTTCAATGGATTTGGACCAAGTAAAAAGAGAGAAGGCTGATGATGCAACAGAGTTTGCTTTTGTCTTCTCCATTTCATCTACTGCCAGAACTTGCTGCCTTAGGGGCTTGTTTATTCTGTTTGGCTAAGAAGGCTGCACTTTATTAAAAGACATTCTTTAACCGTCAAGTAGTGTCTCTTCTAATTTGTTATTGCCTTTGGCAAGCAAGCTGTTTACTCCTCTAGTATACATTGTAATAACATGTTTGCTGGAAGGGCTAGGCAGTTGATAAAGATTGAGAATTCCCTGGGCATGATTCTCCACTGCCTTGCACCTTGTAGAGCTGTTAATATCTTTGCAAAGTGGGTGTAAAATGCTACCAACTCTGAATTACCTACTTATTCTGGTAGTAACATTTTGCACTCACTTTGCACTGGTGTATATGACTACACCACTCCGGCAGCCCCACAGCCCTAGTCCCATGACATGCTGTGATGGGTTCAGTTACAGAGACCCCTTGGGACTGTCACCTGATGTGCTGAAATTACCTCTGAGCCCATTTTCCCTGATGGCTTGGGACTCCAGAACCCTGCCTTGTTGAGTCAGACATGCCAGCCTGCTGCAACACAGACCCAGGTCTGAACCATGCCCCCAAAGCTGCAAGCTTTAACTAAAAACCACTCAGCAGGTTAACTATCTCCAGTACTCAGATACCCAGTTCCCAATGGGATCCAAACCTCAAATAAATCCATTTTACTCTGTATAAAGCATATACAGGGTAAACTCATGAATTGTCTGCCCTCTATAACACTGATAGATATGCACAGCTGTTTGCTCCCCCAGGTATTAATCACTTACTATGGGTTAATTAATAAACAAAAGTGATTTTATTAAGTATAAAAAGTAGGATTTAAGTGGTTTCAAGTAATAACAGACAGAACAAAGTAAGTTACCAAGTAAAATAAAATAAAACACACAAGTCTAAGCCCAATACATTAAGAAACTGAATACAGGTAAATCTCACCCTCAGAGATGTTCCAATAAGCTTCTCTCACAGACTAGACTCCTTCCTAGTCTGGGCCCAATCCTTTCCCCGATACAGTATTTGTTCCAGCTCAGGTGGTAACTAGAGGATTTCTCATGACTCGCAGCCCCCTTTGTTCTGTTCCACCTCCTTTTATAGTTTTGGCACAAGGCGGGAATCCTTTGTCTCTTTCTGGGTTCCCCCCCTTTCTTCTAAATGGAAAAGCACCAGGTTTAAGATGGATTCCAGTACCAGGTGAGGTGGTGACATGTCCTGTGAGACCCCACGCCTCCATTCTTCCCGGCCTGACTCACACGAACACAGGAAGACTTACAAGTAAACACAGCCATTTCCAATCAATTGTCCTAGTTAATGGGAGCCATCAAGATTCCAAGCCACCATTAATGGCCCACACTTTGCATAGTTACAATAGGACTTCAGAGTAATACTTCATATTTCTAGCTTTAGATACAAGAATGAAACATTCATACAAATAGGATGAACACACTCAGTAGATTATAAGCTTTGAAATGATACCTTACAGGAGACCTTTTGCATAAACCATATTCCAGTTACATTATATTTACACTCATAAGCATATTTCCATAAACATATGGAGTGCAATGTCACACATGCCTCTAACTTGAGTTATGGTGACATGGAGCTGTTGTTTTGCTGGTCCTACACATTCCATGGCATGTCCCAAAGCCAGAAAGATACCTGACTTTGGGATCTGGCTGATTTCTGGCTCTTTTATGTTGCAGGAGTGGTGAAAAGGGGCCAGAACAAAACCGAGAATTGGGATCTTTATATTCTGGCTTCATATTAGAATGCTGTATTTCTTCCTAAGGGTGTTATATTATTAAAGGGGCGGGGGGAAAGAGGGTAGGAGTGAGCCCCTGAGATAGTTAGTATGTTAAAATTCAATAGGTCAGACTTTAACCTGTAGGTCTTTTATAAATAAAGATCTTGATTTTTCTCTCGTGCTGCTGTAAACCAGGAGTAACCTCACTACAGTGAATACAGAGACACCTGTGTAAAACTGGTGTGAGTGAGAGAAGAATCAAAGCTGCTGCTCTGCGTCTCCTCTGAGTTACAATAATGTAATCCTGTTTGGGCGGCATTGGTGTAACAGAGCAGAATTTGGCCCCATGTATGTCGTTGAAGATAGGTAATGAATTTACATGGCAGATGTTGATTCTACACAGAGGTGAAAGTAAGCCAGTCAGGTCTGGTCCAGCATACAGGTAAGGGCCGGTACACAGCCGACCGTACCGGCAGGGCCGCTGATGGGGGGGGCCAAAAGGGTCAGCTTTCCAGGGCCCAGAAATTTAAAAGGGCCCGGGGGTCCCGGCAGCAGCCAGAGCCCCTGGCCCTTTAAATCGCTGCCACAGCCCCGGGGCTCCTGGCCGCCGTTACCCCGGGCTCCCAGCTGCTGCTACCCTGGGTCCTTTAAATCGCCACCAGAGTCCTGGGGCCCCCGGCTGCCGCTACCGCTACTATGGGGCTCCAGCGGTTATTTAAAGGGCCTGGGGCTCCTGGCTGCCGCTACCACTACAAAGCCAGCAGCTGGAGCCCCAGGCCCTTTAAATTGCCACCAGAGCCCAGGGGCTCCCAGCCGCTACTGCTCTCATGAGACTCTGGCAGCGATTTAAAGGGCCTGGGGCTCCCGGCTACCACTACCACGGCAGCAGCCAGAGCCCCGGGCCCTTTAAATCGCTGCCAGAGCCCTGGGAGGTGGTGGCAGCTGGGAGCTTCAGGCCCTTTAAATCGCCCGGCCGCGCTGAAGGGCTGGCTGGGGGAGTCTGGCCTCAACCCCGCCCTTTCTGCCCGAGGCTCCGCCCCTTCCGGTTGAGCCACCCCCCCACACCTTGCTCAGGACCGCGACCGCCTTACGTACCAGTAAGTCTCTTAGGTTACTTTCACCCCGGTTCTACGATATGAAATGAGTTTCGTGACTACTTAACATAGCAATTTTATATCCACATTTACAGACATTTTGGACATACTCTACTCAATGGATGAAGGGACTAAGAATTCCAAAGAGAGGGAACAACCAGAGGATTCACAGTCATTCTAATTTTATAATCCTTTATATTTGGATTGTTTTCTTACAGGCTGTGACAACATGCTTGCAGGTATCAAGTCCATAAAGATAGTTAAGAAGACTGGAGATATGCACGGCTCTTGGATGACAGATCCAGGCAAAGACCATATGAAGATTTATTTCTTAAGTGGATCCAAGAATAATGTTATTTTGGAATTTGCAAATATTCGGGCATTCACGGAAAGGAATCATAAGCTAACACCACGGAGAGTTAACCTGCCATCTTCCTGGCAGGGAACTGGCCATGTTATGTATAATGGTTTCCTGTTTTATCACAGATATGGCTCCTTAAATGAGATAGTTAAATATAACATCCAGAGAAGAAAGGTAACTGATAGAATGCTCCTGCCGGGTGCTGGACAGATTTCTGCCTATGAACTATTTCCTGATACTAAAATAGATCTTGCTATCGATGAACAAGGGCTGTGGACAATCCATGCAGAGCCAGACACGAGTGGAAACCTTGTCATCACTAAAATCAACCATATGACTATGACTGTAGAGCATACTTGGGACACATCATGCAATAGCAAGAATGCTGAAGCAGCTTTTCTGATGTGTGGCACCCTCTATGTTGTGTACAACTCTCCTAGTGGAGGCACATCTCGGATCGAATGTGTGTACGATGTCTTAGACACTATAAATACGTATGAAATCCCCGTTTTACCTTTCCCCAAACGTCAGAGTAGCCATTCTATGATACATTATAACCCCAAAGAAAAGCAGCTATTTGCCTGGGCTAATGGATCCCAGATCCTTTACAAACTTCAAACAAAGCAAAAAGTTTAAGATCTTCAGGAACTTTTGAAAGATGAATACTAAAATAAGCTTAAGGTCAATGACCGAAGTTCTCTTCTCAGTTACCATCATGGAATATTCCCCTGGCTTTTCCATTTGCTCACTGTTAGATGCTTTATATATATATAAATATATATTTTCCCCCGAATTAAGGTTTTTCCCCGAATTAAGGTTCATATGCTCACTTCTGCCTGGGCCCAATCTCACACCCATTAAAGACAATGGAAAGACTCCCATTGATTTGAAAAAGAATGGTATCAGGCTTCATATACATGCAGCAGGTATCAGTGTTACAGTATTTAAATGATAAGTGAGTGGCATTATGTCTCCCCACAGCCACTCCAGCCACTCGCAACCTGCCAGCTGCAGGTCAGAGTTCCAGCAAGCATGCCTCCTGCAGCAGATATGTTGTATAGGGTGGCACCATGCTGGGGCCCGGGCAGCAATTGGGAGCTGAAACACCTCCTCTCTACTACGCCGATTGCCCCCAGTTGGATGAATTTGGAAGGAAACTTCCACACGTTCAAACTCACAGAGAGAAATTCTCTTCTACTGTAAATTGACACGGTTCTATTAAGAAGTCAGTGAAATTGTGTCAGTTTACACCATCAGGGAATTTGACCCAAGGGTTTTCACTCCCATACATGGTTTAATCCCATTCAATGCAACATCAGGCTCTGTACGAAACACATATTTGAGCAAAATCCTTATATTCACCTCAGTCAGTTTATTATAAGTAATGAGTAAGGCCTAAAGGATTTGCCCCATACTAAATACTCCCAAGGTCATCCCATTAATTTTTTTTCAAGTGAGTGTAGGGCCTTGATTCAGCATAGCTCCTAAGCACATTTTAACTTTAAGCACCTGCTCAGGCCCATCAATGCACTTATGCACCACTTAAGTCTCACTGACTTCAATTGACCTTTAAGCACATGCTCAAAGTTAAGCCTGGGCTTAAGTGCACTGCTGAACTGGGGCCTTTGTATTTGTGACAGGTACAGATAGACAGCACTGAACAAGAATATCCAAAGTTGTAAAAATAAATATTGAAAAACAACGAAGAGTTTTGAGAGAGATACAAATCCTATGCCTCAGGGCATAAAGCAACCTCTACTACTGGGGCTTAGATGGAAATTTCATCTGGAGGCACGTTATCTCAATTTGCCCAATTCAAGGCTTTTTACGCCTTCGTTGGAAGGATCCAGTACCGACTGCTATCAGAGAGGAGTTGCTGGATTAGATGGACCATTCATCTGATCCAATGTGGCAGTTCCTAGATTAATTTCAAATGTACCTGTATGTATTTTCACATCCAGATTTAATTGGTAATGATGAAAAATTGTTACCCATTATGAGTACTGACTCCAAAACTGCTATTACTGCCCCACATTGACAGTCAAAGCAGAGAGATCAGGGACTGAATATGTTTGGTGACTGAACTTCCCTTTCACCAATGGAAAGCTGGGGCAGTTGCCTCAAGTTTAGGGATGAAGTATATTAATCAGTGAGACCGATGTGGGGAAACATGCCTTGCTACTGACCATACTGCCTCTGTTCTGTGAGTAAACCAGATTTATCCATATAAATGTTCAATCCTTTTTTAATCCTGCTAAGCTCCTGGCCTCAATGACTTCCTGTGGCAATGAGTTCCAGAGTCTAAATGTGCTATATGTGAAGAAATATTTCCTTCTCTGAGTTCTGAGTTTGATGTCTTTCAGTTTTATTGAATGTGCCATTATTCTTGTGTTATCAGACAGATTGAATAAAAGTTCCCGATCTACCCTCTGTAGACCATTCATTATTTTATATACTATTATCATGTCCCCTCTCATTTGTTGCCTTCCTAAAGTAAATAATCCCAACATTTCTTACTCAGTCTTTGAGAGTTTTCCCATACCTCTAACCATTCTTGGCCCCTATATCTGCACACACTCTAATTCTGCAATATACTTTAAGAAACAGGTCACCAGAATCAACACAGGTGAGGGCATAACATTGATGTGGACTGGCTTTATGACCTACCGATAAATTCCAATAGTATATTTGTTCAGAATTAAAACAAAAAGCAAAATAACCCCTCCCTCCCCATACCTATCTCTGTAACACACAAGTGGCAGCTTCAGTTTTTGGATTTTAAGAATGTGTGCATTACAGTTTAATAAAATTAACTGATGTGGGGAAAGCCATACTTCATTGAATCCACAGAATAATCACATTTTGTTCTTTAAGAGTAAAGGGCTGTTGTTGCTTTCTAAAAATAATCTCAACAGAACACCCAAACATCAGGGAATGATGTTAAAAAGAAAATACAACCAAAAGAATACAAGCTACTTAGTCACAACTAGGTCTAAGCTGATATACTTTAGCAAAGAAACTCCATAATCTTATAGCCCAATACTAAGGCAAATACAAACAGGAGAAAATATTGTGCATGGACTAAGGAAACTGTTACTGACTTCTGTGTGACAATGGGGAATGTGGGTGAGATAATATCTTTTATTGGTAAGAGAGTCAAGATTACACAAGTTGGTCCAATAAAAGATATTACCTGACCCACCTTGTCGCTCTAATATCCTGGGATTGACAGGGCTACAACATTGCATACATGACCATAGGCAAGTTGCTTGTTAACCTCTCTGTGCCTTAAGTCTCTCTGGCTGTAAAATGAAGATAATGATATTATCCACATTTGCCAAGTGCTTTTTAAGAGACAAACAAAGCCACTTGAGTTTGAGGCTGGATGAATCTGCTCTTTTACAGAAAGTATTCTAGTGAAGATGTTTTCCTTACTGTTATTTGCATGAGGAGAATGTATTTTGTTATTATTCAAATCATTCCTAAATTAAGAAGAGACACAAGGTGTTTGCAGTGTTGCTGTAGCCGTGTTGGTCCCAGGATATTAGCGAGACAAGGTAGGTGAGGCAATATCTTTTATTTGACCAGCTTCTGTTGGTGAAAGAGACAAGCTTTCAAGCTTATGCAAGGCTCTTTTTCAGATCTGGAAAAGGTACTCAGAGTCTCACAGCTAAATACAATGTGGAACAGACAAACATAAGGAGTTATATGTTACATTACGAAAACACTAATGATATTTTTGTACTTTCTCCCCTCATACCTTCGTATTTGCAACAACTAGTGATGGGTGAACCTCGAAGGTTCAAACAAGGATCTATCGTAACCTTTTTGCCCCGGAAGTCTATCAAAACCAGGTTTGCTTATCAGGGCCGGCTCCAGGCACCAGCAAAACAAGCTGGTGCTTGGGACGGCACATTTCTAGGGGCGGCATTCTGGCGGCGGCCATGCCGCCCCTAAAAATGTGCCCCGGCCGCCCTCCACTGCTGCTGCTCGTGCGCCACGGCGCGCGAAACAGCTGATTCACGCGTCGCTGCTCGCCCTCCCTCCCAGGATCTCAAACCTGGGAGGGAGGGGGAGATCCCGAGCGGCTGTGGCGCATGAAACAGCTGATTCACGTGCCGCTGCTCCCCCTCCCTCCCAGGTTTGAGAGCCTGGGAGGGAGGGGGAGATCCCGAGCGGCCGCAGCGCGCGAAACAGCTGATTCGCGCACCGCTGCTCACCCTCCCTCCCAGGTTTGAGAGCCTGGGAGGGAGAGACCCCGAGCGGCCGCAGCGCGCACTGCTTCTCCCCCTTCCCTCCCTCCCTCCTAGGCTTGAGAGCAAGGGGGGAGGAGGCAGGGCTGGGGATTTGGGGAAGGGGCGGAGTTGAGGCGGGGCCGGGGGTGGGATAAGAAAAAAATGAGGGGGGGCGGCCAAAATTGTTTTTGCTTGGGGCAGCAAAAATCCTAAAGTTGGCCCTGTTGCTTATGCATTCTCAGTATTTCCTGGTTCGGCCCAGAATGGAAATACTGCAAGAACAAACTTCACTGCAGTATTTAGTACTCCTTGGTGTGAAAATGTAAAAGAAAAATGAACAAATGGTTCAGGTTCAGTTCATGTTTGGGGCAGAGTTTCAAGTATGATGTTCTCAGAAAGAGTGTGTGAATAGACCACAGTAACTCCTCACTTAAAGTCCTTCCGGTTAACGTTGTTTCATTGCTGATCAATTAGGGAACATGCTCATTTAAAGTTGTGCAATGCTCCACTCTTACCTTGTTTGGCTGCCTGCTTTCTCCACAGCTGGCAGCCTCCCTATGCCCCCCCTCTCCCCACAGCGCCTCCCGCCCGCCGGCTGACCCCGCGGATCAGCGCCTTCCCCCTTCTTCCCCCGCCTCCTGCCTGCGGTAATCAACTGGCTTGCGAGGTTTAGGAGGCAGGAGGGAGGGGGGAGGACTCGGCGCACAGACTCCCCCTTCCTCCTCTGCCTCCTGCCCGCGGCAATCAGCTGGCTTGAAGCATGCAGAAGGGAGGGGGAGGAGCGAGGATGCAGCGTGCAAAGTAAGGGGGAGGAGGTGGGGGGGAGAAGAGGCGGGTCAAGGGTGGGGGCTGGGGGAAGGGGTGGAGTGGATGGGCTGAGGGTTGAGCCCCCTGCCAAGTCAGTGCCTGTGCTTGCAAGAACAGCAAGAGGAGCAGCCAGACAATCCATCCTCTTCCACCCTCTGACTCCACCACCTCAACCAAGCTTCATACTCAGCAGTGATGACTGTAGTATTAAATTGTTTCTTTAAAATTGTTTAAAACGTATACCTGTATTAAATTGCTTGTTTAAAATTGTTTAAAACGTATATAATGCCTTTTGTCTGGCCAAAAAAAAATTCCCTGGAACCTAACCCCCCCACTCCCATTTACATTAATTCTTATGGGGAAATTGGATTCGCTTAACATCGTTTCACTTAAAGTCGCATTTTTCAGGAACAGAACTACTTAAAATGTTAAGTAAGGAGTTACTGTATTCAGAGAGCTGGGATTCCTGAGTTCTAATCCTGATTTTTTGGCAAGCCACTTAACTTTTAAGAACCTCAATTTCTCCCATCTCTAAAATGGGGATGATGTTATTGACTGACAGCCCAGCCCAAAGTTCACTGAAGTCAATGGAAACTCACACTGACTTCAGTGGGGTTCACATCAGGAGCAGGCCACTGCTTCATAACTAAATAAAATATTTGTTAAAAGCTATACAAAGTATTACGGTCAGTCATTGGCAGAAGTGGGAATAGTGTTTTGGTCCTTCTGGCTATCCACCCTGTGTTTATGACTATTCAGTAGGGCTAAGCACGTGCTTAAAGTTAGCCACATGCTTAAGTATCTTGCTGAATCCAGTTCTTATCCAGTGGACCATGTTTGGGGGAGGCACCCCAGAGTCTAAATACGTCCATAAAAATGCTCAAGTTATGGATTTCTGAAAGCCAGTCAGAGAAAGTGAGGCCATTTCCCCAAAAACAAAACTGAGAACATGAAAATGTCTGTAAACTAATTAGTAACAATTGTGAGCAAAACTCCATGGGGACATTTTCATCCATTTCTAACAGCACTACTTTCACAGCTTGAAAATTAAATCTATTTCTTTACAGCCTTAGCAAAGTTTCTTTTTCCTCTCGCAAGCAAGCACACAGTGACTTATTACTGTAGGACTACTGATGAGTGCCACTGCAGGTGGCTGGTAATAAAGTTTTACTATTATTAACGGGGCCTGTCTGAGGGGTGGGCAAGCATGGCACATGCCCTCAGTGCCCACATCCAGTGATCCACCATACAGCTGTGCTGCCCGGCTTTTTTTCCCCTCTGTGGTGATTGGACAACTATTATTTTCTCCAGTGGGAAGTAGCCATGAGGGCTGGAAGGGGCAGGGAGTGGTGCAGCCCCTAGACTTCCAGCTGTTTGAAATACATTCAAATATTGCACCTACAGGTGCAGCCCAACAGCAGTTTCTGAAAAGCAGGAGAACGTACTGATTAATTTGTTCTCCTTCTTGCATTTTATTTGATGTGGGAGGGGAAAAAACTGTGTCCTTTTATAACTATAACTGAAATTAACAAGTTTATCTAAAACCAACCCCTAGGTAAAGAGTCCAACCACAGCATTATAATTTTTCACACATTTTAACGCACCCAATGGAAACAACTATTTCTACCCCAGTTATAATGTAATTTAGAACTATGCAAATTAGGAAGAACCACTTCACATTTTCCATTTGACTTACAGTAGTAGCAATTTGTTGGCAGCAAACTAAATCCTGTGTTGATTATATTGTCTGTTAATATCTTTTTTGTTTTAAATACAAAACGTTATAACATACAGCCTCAGAAGGTGGTAGTCTGCTACATAGAAATAATTGGATTAGTCTGTCAGAAAAAAAAAGTAATCTTAGTCAAAATGTTTTGTCAGTAGATACATAATTCTTTGTTCGCACCTTCCCTAGAAAGGACACAAGACCAGTAGATGTTGTGCAATGCTAAAATATTAATTAAGTGAGAAAAATACTTGCATATCAAGGAACTGAAAGGCAGAAAAGTAAATACATTATTAAAACTATGATATATATATAGAATATCAGCAACTAAATGATGTGGGGGAAAGCCATACTTCAATGAATCTACAGAATAATCACATTTTGTTCTTTAAGAGTAAAAAGCTGTTATGGTATGGTAGTAAAACTATATGTTGCACATTTTATAGACCAGACTCCTAAATACATTCTGGGCCAGAAATACTTCCAGATCAAGTCTACATCATTTTGCAATTAAATATTTCAGCATTTATAAGAAATGCCATTTTCCAGTATGTTAAATAAATATATAAAAATTGACTATTTCTTTGACAGGTGTTACATTTTAAACAAAAAAAATTACCTAGAAAATACTACAAAACAGAAAACTATCAGTC